TATAGACAACACACACACATATATATATATATATATATATATATATACATTCGAATAATTTTAAGCCAAGGGCGACGGAAGTTATCTGACACTGACATTCAATAAGTGCATAGGCGATTTGAGATTGAGAGTATAGTTGTTTTTTTGTAATACATGCTCTTTATATATGAGTAGGTCAATACGCATATACCAACATTCGATTAGCACCTGCCATTTTCGTACTGTCACATCACCACAGGAATCGCGCGGTATATTGTTTCAAAGTGCATACCTTTTCCTGTATAGATCCTTGACGACGCTTATCTGCGCTTGGACGGCTGCTTTGATATCTTTATCCTGGTTGAACTTTCTCATGCAAGTATCGGTGAAATCTCTGTATGTTGTATTTAGGAGACCGACAAAGATCAGAAGGCCAATAAGTATCAACTGATGCTTACCCAACATGCACATGGATTTCAGAATCTAAATTCCCAGCGTTTGGTCGAAGGCAAGATAATTTTGGCGTATATTTTGCAAAACATATCCGAACACGAATAACGCCTAATGAATTATATTTTTAGTTTAAACGCACCTGTAAATGCCACAAACAAAAATCTGGTGCTTATTAAGGCGTTCTTTCATCACATCCAGCCTCTCCCTTGCTTCTACAAGCTCGTCGATTGTGGTGGTGACATTCATTCCCGCTGTCCCAACTACACCTGTGATCCCTTCCACATTGTTTGCGATCGTGGCGGCATTCCCTGCAGGATCCCGTTCAACACCTGCACTTTTTTTACCAGCCCTCACAGTCTCAGTGCTGAAAGGACTAGCGGTGGCAAGCATAGACCGCGATGTTTTGAACAAGGCTGGCGTGGGTGTGCGTGTGTGATTCTCCGACTCGCCCTGCACTCCCCGGGTCGTCTGTGAGCTTTCAGCGTTGAGATGCAACTGTATGTTAGCTGCTTCATATATATCGGTGTGCCCAGGTGACAAATAAAGTGATGGACCGGTGTCACGTTGAGATATACTTTCTTCGATGGAATCACGTCTTCTGATCGGAGACAGATCTCCATGGTGAGCGTGTGCAAACAAACGGTATCGGTTTCGCAACAGTCCGTTTTGACTATTCAGACTCTCGGTGAGTATGTTCACTTGGTGTAGTAATTCCGATTCCTCATTCATATCTGTATGCAGAGGGTGAAATAAATGGAATCCATATCAATACAAATGTGACCGCTTTCAAATGTCGCTTTTAATACTTGTTACCACCACCAGGCATAAGAAGTAAGCATCAACTTTGTAGTTCTCTACTACCAACTAGTAGGGGGGAACGGCAATAAGCCTCGGATTCTCAAGAAACGAAAGTCAGCATTTATGTGTTCATGTCTTGCACATCGAGAGACGAGAAGCACGCAATGAAGCAAAACACAAAGGAGTGCATAGTAGAGCACGACAACTTCGGAGTGTCGGAATAGTTGCATAAAGTAGACGAAACGAAATAAAATAGAGATGCAAAAGAAAGCAAAAGCATACATATATACATATATACATATATTGTGTATGAATAATACACGTCTTCACTTAAATGTATGGATATTTTACCACAACTGAAAAAAAGAATTCACACCATACCCTCATCATCAGTGGTATCGCCACCATCCTCAATCCTTTCTCTATATCCCGCCAGGTTCGCCTCAGCGACTCGGAGGTCTCTGCGCACGATCCAAGCGTCCTCCAATAGCTCATCATCGCTTAGATAACCATCCCATTCAGTGTCTTGGCTTTCCCAGTCACACTCATCGCTCTCCTCTTCCATATGTATTATATCTACTACCACACCAGGATCAGCACTCCCCGCAGCACCAACACTTGGTGCTTCACTTGCAGTCGCATTCATACCCGAGTTTGTACTTATGTTTGATCCTACGGCTGTGCCTGTAGAATTAGGCGTGGCCTTATTTACATTTGCAGTCACGTCTAAGCCTGTTGTGGTGGACGCAGACATTGAATAAGAGGTCTGTTGCAGGCGCTCGTGCGGAACAGCACCATATGATTTCACACCTTTGGCACGTAAACATAGACGCTTCAGCTGTGCTGATTCTCTCCTCAAGAGTGCACAATCGCTCATGTAGTGTTTATTCTGTAGTAACCGCAGATTGGGGCCAAAACGGATCCTAAGGTGCCATGCTGCAATGCCGACGGGTACAATATGCATTGTGCGGGTTATTTACTTGATTCAATTGTAATTTGTTAAAAAAAACATTGGTAAAGTATTTTGCGATGCTTTTAAAGCCCTATGTAGGCCATTCACGATATAGGTACACACAGAGAAACACTAGCCATACCTATACTCTCCAGTCTGTGAGCGCTGATCACTTTCTCATTCCCTTCAAGCTTCACAAACCTGCGCATCTCCATATTCCCCTTTCCACGCCCTGTGACCACCACAACCGCCTCATCATGCCCGCCGTTCAAGGTACCCATACGATCAAAGCTAGAGCTGGTGGCCCCTTTCCCTCCAATAGCGTTAATACTGTCTGTGCCTCGCACACTCTCATCATCGGTGATACTGCTGGCTAAGTCATTCTCACTATCATTATCAGTATCACTGCCACTGTCACTGCCAGTGTCGGTACTGTTGCTACTGCGGACACTCCCTGTGTCCATAGGGGATGTAGTTTTCATCCCAGACACCCGTGCAACAATGGATACATCATCGTCTTCACTATCCTCGGAGCTTCCGCTGCTCTCTGCGCCGGTCGTTTCTTGCTGTGTGTGGGTGTAAGAATTCTTCATCCGTGCTCGTTTCCGTGTGTGCCCCTCAGGAGTATGTACACGGCGATGACTAGCTTTCCGTTTACAGCGTTGTTCTTCTTTCACGACCGATGAGTTTAAGCCTTTTTGACGCCTTTTCTGAATCTTTTCCCGGCTTTTTGTTTTGTTTTCCTCTAACACGCGCTGCTTCTTCTTGCGCTCAGCCGCGGCTTTCTGTTGCAATTTCTGCTGTCGTTGCAAACGGTACCGTTCTCTCTCCTCTTCCATCGCCTTCTCTTTTGCCATTTTGGCTTCGGCTTTTTTCTGCTCCTTCTCCATATTAGTCCGTCTCCTCGCCTGGGACACTTCCTTCTGACTGCGTTCCTCAATAGCCAGAGGCGGCGCCTGTGTTTTATCTGGCTTGAACAGATCCGATGACACCTCCCCGTCACCCCGCACGACCACATTGCTCTGATTTACAATCATGCTGTACTCCACCGGTACACTCAGGGGCATGTGCAGGGGATTCTCTTCCGAGAGCGTTCGCCCGTATCGCTGGTTTTTGCGCGTCTGCGACAGCGTCACTTCGAAGCCCATCAGTCCACCCTTTGTATGCGGTGTGCTCTGGACCACCTCCCTATTCACAGGGGCTACTTTCTCATTCTCTTTGGTTGAGATAGGCGCAAGGGTGTTCAAGCTTGAGTCTGTGCGTGCGTTGGTGCGTGTGTTGGTGCGTGCTCGTGTGCGTGCAGACCTCCTGTTAGGAACACTCGATACCGACCCCCCACTCGCTACCACCGCCGCGTATGTTTGAGCACTTGCCCGTGTGCGCTGGACTCCACCGCGCTCGGATTTGGGTACTGAGTTCCTCCCGGTCGCAGAACGGACACGGTGACTTGATTTTCTTCTTAAGATTTTCCTTCTGGGGGGTAAACTACTACTCGTGCTTTCCCTCGACCGCCCATTGTGCCCAGAAAGTACGGCGGTGCTATTGCTGGACAATGAGCTTGTACTGGTATCGTTGCAACTATCGTCATCGAGCTTTGTTGCTCGCACCCCAAGACGCGCACGGTTGCGAGTGTATTCCGTATTGTCAGGTGTGCTTTGGCTATCTGAATCGTTCATACCGTCGGATATGAGATCCTTATCCGCACCATACATCTCGCCCGAACCCATAGCGTACTCATTGTCTATACCTTGTACTTCTGATACCGCACTCGATGCGCCCGCACGTGCTAGATCACCACCTTGTGCTACAATTGTATCTACATTCGCGTCTATGTTCAAATTATCACTCCCGTCGGCATTGGCATTGACATTTGTATTCGCACGACGTGCTGCGCGTGACAGGTGAGTGGGTGTGGGCTCATACGCCCACAAGTCATTGCTTTCAACGTTGACCAGAAGACCCTTGAGCGCTCCTTCCACAGACCGGGAGACGTTGATCGCGCGCAGTTGAGATAGCAGCCAACCCTTTTGACCTAGAGGGATGGTGCGGTACATTGAGCGATTAGGGTGCGTCTGACGAGGGAGGATATGAGCGATGCTCCGATATTTAAAATATGTGTTAGCGTATTACGTATATACGAGTGAAGCGACAATATGGCGCTTATGGGACAATGAGTAAATAGCAATCAAGATCAGTCAGCACACGTGTGACAGGAATCGCTTGACTACCCACAAAAGCCATCACAGAAATCGCTTGCAAATGTGAACACCGCAAGCCGAGACCTTCCTCTAAACTCTCGACGTCTGTCCTAAGCCTTTACCTTAGGTTGCATTTGTTCACCGATGAAAATTTGCTCTTGCGATTCGTACATAAAAAATTACTGTGAAGATTTTGGGATTGAGACTAAAGGCAAACTGATAAGATGCGACGTATATTTACGAACACCATTCAACGACACCTAAACAAGAATCCCCACCAATGAAACAGCGTGAAACACCTCACCTAATCCAGACAATCCTTGCCACAGTTCATCGACGAGTGCGAGTGCCAGGGCACATGTGAAGAAGTCATTGATCATCACCACCCTTTCTCCTTCGGGGGTCCGACCTCTTGGCATGTCGAACTTGCTCAGCGTTTCCCGACTATACGGCATATGCGGTATGGTCAAATATCTATTGCGGATATTCGTCTCACATATTTCTTCCGAGTGCGATTTGATCATCTGAAGCAAAACATTGAACAAAACAAAGAGCCTCTCCTGCAAAGTCTTTAGGCTTCGATGCACATTCATATAATCAGTCAAGAAGCGTGTTGTGATACCTCGGTTGGGCTGCTCTTCGAACGGAGGTACAACTTGACCATCCTCTACTAGGCGCTTCTGCAAGGACAGATCATGTCTGTTCTCAGCGCTACGACTATCACGGTTGCTGTCCCGTGATGTGGTGAGTGGCAGCAGTGCTGGAGGTGAAGTATAGCTGACCCGCAGTAGCGCCGGCGGCGGCGAAGTACTGCCCGCCCGAGACGAAAAGGAACGCATTCTGTAGGCAGGCATATTTGAACTAGACAATCCTCCCCTTCCATTCGGAGGGTCCCTCGCGTTCGGCCGTGAAGCGGGGCTTGAAAGCGGTGGTGCATGTGTACTGTCTGTGAGCGAAGCTGTAGGCGATGGCGCGTCGCTCATGATATCTTCAGAGTCCGAATGTGTGATGTCAACGACTATGCGGCCAGTACCACTGGCTGAATGCGACTCTCTTTTCCCGTACATGTCTGTGCTTGTAGTAGTGTGCGTACTCACTCCAAGCATACTGCGGGGTTGGTTATCTTGAAGACCCTGGTTCTCTTTCGCCTCCTGCTCTCGTTGTAGTCCTCTCAAGTTGGGTCTCGGCAGTTGTCTAAGCCTTCTTATTTTAGAGACGCCCGAACCAGCTATAGACGGATTCTTGGTTGACTTACATGGTTCGCTCGGAGATTTCGTAGTCTCCTTCGCCCCCCGTCCTAGCCGTACTGGTCCGCCCTTCCTCTCAACTGTAGTAGACCCGCTCGCTTTACCAGTTTTCTTGCTGGGTTGCCCCCGGGGTGGGCTGTACGTGCCCACTTTCGTCTTCGCGTTCCGTTGCTTTCTGGTTGGTACATTCTGAGGCTGTGCTTTTGCGTTAACATTCGGCCCTGCGCTTTCTTGCACGGATTTACTGCTGACCGTGCTGTCTCCCAGACTGTCACTGGAAGTACTATCCACTCGCCGCCGCGGCGTGATACGCATGCCTGCGGGTAGCTCGTCGTCCAAGCTCGTATCCCCAAATGCTTGTGTGGACATGTCTTGTGCGACTGCCGGTTGTGTGTTCGCTGGTGGTGAGTGCATGAATCGTGTTGGTTGTGCAAGCATAGTCGGTTTCTGTGGCACATCTGCCTCAACATGCGATGTATCTGATGCTCGTTGGGGTATCGCTGATTGCAATGCGGGCGGAGACTGACGATTGGTCACGAAACCAATATGCTTTTGTATTAGGGAGGATGCATCTGTAGAACATGGCTCATCCACGGCACCTCCCTCCGAAAAGGGGGCAGTCGTAACACTACTAACACCGACAGCGTCTGATATAGCGGGTACTGTGACTTCGTTCGTACTGCTATGAATAGCAGGTTTGTCCGGCAGCACATCCTTGTGTCCAGACGAGATCTGCATAGTTTTCGCGTCGTTTGTAGCATCTTTACCATCCACCGAGATTGGTGAAAATCTAGAGATACGTTCGGATGTTTTGTCAGACGGCCTACTATTCAGCGTTTTCAGATTGCCAGAATTACTTGCACCAGTTTTCTCGAGCTCGAGGTTTGCACTACTGGGCAGCAGCTTATCGCAACCCGACTCGATCATTTTGTCAATATCAGAGAGCAATTTATCACCTATCACATACTTTTCCTTTGCGTCGGAGTTTTTGAAGTTATCCAACTCGACAAGGTCAGATAGCAGCTCGTTACCCAACTTCGCATCTGGCATTTCTGGAGACCTAAAATCATACTGAACCGTTGTAGCCTTGTATGCATTCGTATTTACATATATTTGTGCATTCGTGTTTGCACCGCTAGATCTTTCTGAGCCTATCGTACGGAGGACTGCTACAGGTGGCTCCTGATCAACATGCGCCATCGATTGTTGTGCAGCACTAGCAAGTGATTTTCCAAGTACTCGCACATTCTTAGCTTTTTGGTGGTCGACACTTGCTGAACTTGGTACTATCCTTTGTACTGCATTGTTCCCAGGGTTTGTAGCGTTGTTTGCTTTAGACGAGAACTCATTTTTCGCCGTTTGATTATCAAAATTTGCTGAACTTTGTTCTACTTTTCTCCCTACTACCTGCTTACTGACTTCCGTAGGTTTGTTCGCCTTTGATGAGAGTATGGCCTTGATACTAGTTTTCGCCAACGCACTCGAAATTGATGCATGGCTGGCCGCAGCAGCCACGCCTAACTCCTCAGCAGCCTCTGCATGGATTTCCGCTATCTTTTTCTCTACTCCACGCGTATTCGACTCGCGTGCTGTCTGCGTGTGGGCGTTGGGCATATTTTGTGCTAGTGCTGGTTGAAACAGTTGCACTTGTGCCTCACTAGTGTGCTGTTGCTGCTCTTGTACACTCCACCGGCGATTCTCTTGCTCGCTAGGATCTCGTGCGTATTGTTGCTCTGGTTGAGAACGAGGCTTGCGAAACAGAGGCTTATGGATTTCTTGCGTATTCATATATATGTGTGAATTGTTATAAGACCTCTCTTGTTGTCCCTCATTCGAGTCCACATATGCTGGTTGTTGCAGTTGCTGCTCCTCATACGAGACTACGAATGCTGGATGTTGCAGTTGCTGTATTTGCTGCTGCTGCTGCTGCTGGGGTTCCTGCAGTTGTTTTGGCTGTTGCTGAATCTCTAGGCCCTCGTAGTTGTATATCGGGATACCGTATGGTATTCGCCGGTCTACTGGTGGTGGTTGGTGCCGGTATGTTGGGTCTAGCGATAGCCGCTCCATCTGTGGTGGTGTTGGCTCGTGTGAGGGAAACTGGCTGTAATACCGAATCACATCATCCTGATTGTCCATGGGGAGTGAAGCACGTAGCTGCTCCTGTGTATAGCGACTACCGGCCCACTCTGATGTCCTATAAAAGTCGTAAGGTGGGAGTATTGGTTGAGGTTCCGATATGTAGTTGGGATCGTCGATATGTCGCGCAGTATTCGGATAGCGCGGTAGACTGCGTGCATGATTATACTCATCTACCTGACTCTGCGAAAGCGGATAGACTGCGTTATTATTGGTATTAGGATTAGTGTATCCGTATTGATACTGTCCTTCTTCAGGCCACAATGGTTGTGGCTGGAGCGAATGCTGCTGCTGTGCATACATGTATCTCTTATATGCATGGGTGTATTGTTCATGCGCTGTGTTATCGCCCATGATGCAAGGATTCGAGCGCTAAAATACTAACACTACTTTGTAGACCGTCCCATCGCTACTTCGTACGGGATACAAAGGTAGGTTATTCATAGAGCAATCGTTTCGTTTTCTCTCTTCATCAAACACGAACTCACCTCACCCGAAGTTGTTTCTAAAATACAGAAGTTTCATGCTGAAGTCAGTACTCAGACCTTCCTGGGACTTGTGTGGCTGTGCTCGGTTCACCAATCACTATTTCGAACGCTTTGCCTCAGATTTCAAGATTTGGTTTTGGCGGGCCTTTGAGCTTTTCAGAGCTCATATAATAAGAATTCCACTCGGAAAACCCAAATTTTCAACCAATCATATAATAGATTAATATTTATTGTAGCCAGTATAAATTACTTGTCGTCCCTATAAATTAAACTCCAGAATTTCAGGGTGCTTTAAATCAATAACCATTGAATATCAACATTATGCGCTAATTTTATTGATTAAAATAACAGCCAGCTTTTAAGTGACCCAATTTGTTTGAATAAATAAAAATGACTATAATCCGCACCGGCGCACACCCCCTACGCGCTACAGCTCTAATAATATAATTCCCCTTCACAGAAAAGCTTTTAAATATTATTCTCTCTCGTGTAGTCTCCAGTTTGGCCCCATCGGCGTCATCATGTATGTATGTATAACTAAAATATTCATATAAACAGTTAGTGTTTTTTTTAATGATAGTTGTCACGCCCGAGCCACTTCTAGTAGCTATACGACGCACAGTGTCTAGATCGTTCGCATTACCGCATTAAATAGAGTTCAATTAGAGTACTTACGGGTCATATACACATCAGAATGGGTAGGAGACCAGCTGGGGCTGTCGGCGGCGGCACCCAAAACACTGCGCCAAAGAAAAGCGGTACAAACCCAGATAGTAACAGTAAACTCACGGCAGATAACCGAATTACCATGAACACACCTGGGAATGCAAATAAAGCTAAAGCCTCGCGAGCAGAGGGTGCTGACGAGCATGGAGATATTATGAAAGGCGGTGGTAGTGTCAAACCGGCCGAGAAGGATCGTGGGAACAGAGAGAAGGCTGGGCGTAGTGTATCACCCGCACTTGTAAGTAAGGAATCAGGAGGTGGTAGTAGGGATACCACTACAGCCACAGCCACGCAGAGCTCTACTTCCGCGAAGTCAGGCATTAGTGCTAGGAATGAGAATGGGAATGAGCTTGAGTCCAAAGGGAGTGTGGGCAATGATGAGGCGGGCGCGCACACGGATAGTAATGAAGCAGCCGAACAAGGCCACGACTTGGCGCTGCGAGAAGAACAGCATAAGGAGGCCATAGAACGGCATACGAAGTTAGTAGAACTACGGGAGAATCACCTGAATGCGGCGGAAAACAGGCCCAACGCGAGTGCCATCAGTAAGCTGGATTCAAGTCTGAAGAAGAACACAGCCTTCGTTAGAAAGTTAAAGCTGATTACAGAGGAGAGCAGGGCTGCACTGATTAAGGAGTTTGATGGGTTGAATCTGAGCAAGTATGTGAGTGAGTGTGTGAGTAGTATCTGCGAGGGTAAGCTCAAGAACAACGACATGGCGGCGGTGGTGGAGCTGTGCGGACTGTTTCACCGCCGGTATGCAGATTTCAGTGACCTCATGGGAGAGAAGCTATGCAAGGTGTGTGTATTAATTGTATATGCGTGTGTGCTTGCGTGATGTCTATAGTGCAAGTAGTTGTATATGACGAAACTCAATTATTCTGCGCGGATCGAAGATGGATGTTTGATGTACTGTATTTATGTACCCGTATTGCCCTGTTAGTACGTGCCTACTTACATCAGCTTCGCACAGGTGTGTGTCGATTCACCTTCACTGGGTTTCTAACGTAGCCAGTTCTCCAATGGTGCGACATAGCAACAAGGATACCCTCGATCTAGCGCAAGGGTTTCGCTCCTGCTATTGTGAAACTGTCACATAGGGGCTCCTGTGTTGAGTGTGCTATACTCATTGTGTGCGCGAGTGTGCTCGTCTAATCGCCTATTCTTGATTGGGATGTCGACCTAGCTACACGTTGTACAAGTCGTCAAGATGAGGTTCATGCTCACTTTATCTCAACCGTATCAATAGTTTTCTCGTTTTCGAGTCTTAAATTCTAGCCAAAGCCTGTCTATCTCTGAAGCTACCTGACGAGCCAGAATCGCCACACCGTCATAGATAAAGGACCAGTTTACTCCTACGACTATGTTTAACTTCAACGCCATTTGCACAACTATGACAATTCACAAATTTCGACGCCATTTGCGTAGCTATGGCAAATCATGTTCCCGTTAGATCGTGTAAGTATCATAAATGCATGTGTGTCGACAGTCGATCATGTGCGCAAATCCATCTGCCTACTATTCCCTGCTCTTTCGTATATATGACATTCCATGCATGCGTACTGAGAAGAAAATATGTACCGCAACGTACTTCCATCAACAGGCGCTCGGCGATCCAGCAGGCGCACTGGCCGGCGCAGAATCAGTCACAGCCGTAGCCGTACGTTATCGTTCAATGCTCAGACTATTCGGCGAGTTAATCATCAACGGTATGTGCACGTTAGACTGCGACCATACACTCAACTGTAGCCAATGAACTTGTCTGTAGGATCTGTGCTTCTGCGCGCCTATGTATATTCGTGCATAAGGTTTCTTGTAGGTGTTCGTAGCTGTGATAAATATATTACGTCTCAAAGGCCGAACGGTAGGCAGCACGTATTCACAAAAGATATATAGAAATCATACTCCACTATTTGCAAGACTTACAAAATGGTCTTTCCGTTTTGTTACGTCTGCATTGACAGTTGGTTTTTGGACTTACGATACAAGTCGCACAAAATGAACGGCACATAGTGGTCCTAGCTACACGGGAATGTGTTCTGTCTGCACCTAATCGCCGCATGGAGTCGCACACTCCTCCTCACTGACCATCTCGATTGGACGTAACAACGTCTGTGCAGGTGTGCTTAACAACACGGGCGATTTCCTAAATTGTTTCAAGGACATAGTGGTGGCTGACAAGGAGAAACACCAGCTGCTTACGGTTATAGTGTCGTTTATAAGACACGCGGGAGAAGAGATGGTCGGCATTGTGACGAGGCATGTATACTTTAATTTCATGTGAAAAAAAAGCCTATCTAAATACAAATGCCTGTAGCCCGCTGATATCATTCCTCTATGCGCTCACATGCAAGCACTTCAATAACTATATATCCCCACGATCGGTTCTTGTTTTTATCTGCTGACTGGGGTGTCTGAGAAGGCTGTCATCTGATCAGACTATAGTGTGTATGTGCGCGCAAAAAAATCCATACACTGGTTGTTCGGTGGATACCATATACAAGCATATATTCGCTTATGTTGTTGTGCGGTGATATTTGTTGATAATGCTCGAAGATGTATCATCCATTGCGTGTCACTAAACTATTTGAATATACCACCTCATCCCGAACAGGAAGCAGGCAGAGTATAGAGCTGCCAACAACTATGAAGCGATTCCTCGTTTAAATGTATGTCTTGTGTAAGCGTGAGAGCATGATATATGCGTGCTGCGTATGACAAGGTTATATGTCTTATGTTTCGTTTTATTTTCTGCTATATTTGCCTCCAGAAATTGAATATA